TGAGGTAGTGTTGGCAAGCGAGTAACCGTGTCGCAACGCTCCTTTTGGGATCGGGGCGTCGGCCACTCGTCATAGACAGTGGTGGCCTTGAACTTGTCTGGGTCAGCCCGAACGCCCACGTTGCTTACGAAGCAGCCGAGGACGTTAATCTCTGGTGACGCGAAAACGCACTTGTCGATGCTGGCGTAGATCTTGTTCGCTCGCATTACGTCCAACACTCGATGGAGGTGTCCTAGATGCACCTCCATGGCCGCCTTGCCTCCCTCGGCACGGCTATGGACGAATATGTCGTCGAAGTACGTCTGTACGAAGGTACGCAAAGCGCGGAACAATTGCGTCACCAGGCGATTGAACGTCGCCGGGGCGTTAGACAAGCCCTGCGGCATGACGAGCCACTCCCAAAGCATGTCGCTTGGAGTGCTCACCGCGGTGAGCGGGATGTCGCTCTCGCGCATCAGGATCTAGTAGTATCCGTCTACCAAATCCAGCGCACTGTACAGTACGCTTCCGGCCATGTTGTTCAACAACACATCCTTTCGTGGGGATTGGTGTCTGGGCCGGCACCGTTGCGTTGTTCAGCTTGTTATAAGCGTGAACCAGACGCCACTTTCCGTTCGGCTTCCGAACGCAGAAAGTTGGCGTCGAGTGCGGGGGATTTTCGACTCCCGCACCATGCCTGCCTTCGCTTTCGCGGCGAAGAAGGCATCAATGACCTCGCATTGTTCGCGCGGGAGAGGCCATTGCCTCGTGACACAGTACTTTGTGCCAGGCACGAGATCAATCTCATGCCGTACACCTCGATTCGGTGGGAGTTGGGTCAGTGCGTGTTTGTTCACCATGTCTGCATACTCCGTCACCGAAGATACACCGGACCCTTGGGGCTCTTAAGGATCTCATAGCCCAAGCGCGTCTGACGCTGCTTGTTTTAGGTCTTCTAGGACGTTCTCGTCCAAGACAGAGGAGGGAGTTCAGCTCCTCCCGAGTGGTCTCAGGTATCATGAGCACCATCTCGGCAACCTTCCAGCCTTGAGGTTGGCCAAGAAAGACTCGACCGTCATTTCCTCGAGGGTCAGGTATCTCTGCAACCTCTGGGCAAAGGTTCCAAGTGGACACCAGATGCCTTGACGGGGAAACCGGTCTCGCCATCGAAGATGTGATAACACTCTTTCACCGGCCTTGTCGGAGGAGCCCGGGCCCTGGATTCCAAGTCGCTTGAAGCGACGTCGATCGGAACGAAGTTCGGATCCGACTTGAGGCGGCGGCGGCGTCGTTGACGACGGCGACCGTGACGTCGAGCTTTGCTGCCCACGTCTAGGGATGTCGGCGCTACGACATCCGAGGCACTTGTGGCCTCGTGGGGTACCGTGGTACCCACACAGGAAGCGTGTTCGACGCCTTCCTCTTCAGTTAAGGTCTGGTCGACCGCGTGTGGCATTATGTTACCCACACAGGAAGCGTGTTCATCGCCTTCCTCTTCAGTTAAGGTCTGAGCGACCGCGTGTGGCACTGTGCTACCCATACAGGAAGCGTATCCGACGTCTTCCTCTTCAGTTAAGGTCTGGGCGACCGTGAGTTGAACTCTGTTACCCACTCTGAACACGCTGTTCTCAGTGTTCGTGACAGCTGCAGCTGTCTGCGGAGCTAAGTTACCCGCCTGTGAACCTAAGTTACCCACTTGGTCAGCGCCTCTTCTGGGCGCTGCCACCATCAAAACATCCTCAGAGGCGTCATATACGTCGACGACTCCCAAGCATCTGCCGGATGCTTTGGTACCCTGGCAGCCCTTGCGGGCGCCCCGGGTCCTGACAGAGGTGGAAGCATGACTCACCAATGCTCTGTCGGACTGCGCAGGGCGGCTGGCACCGATTGCCTTGCCTCGCCAGCCGATTCAGGGCTCGTGCTTCTCAAGCCAGGTCATGCCCAGGATCATATTAATCCATATCGAGAACAGTGAGCTGTTCGAGGCTGTCAAAGTCTTCAAACTTGACGGCCAGATCCACTTGAACGTTGGGGACAGTGACGACCTTCCCGTCGGCCAGTCGCACTGACACCGTCCCAATGCCCTTGCTTTCTCTCAAAGCCTCGGACAACTTGTTGCTGTTGCGAGCAACCGTCTGGCGGCGTGCGAAATTCTTCGACGCCCCAGAATCGATCAAGATTCTAAAGGGATGATCGTATCCCCGTACACATCCGTGTACTACGAGCAGCCCGCCGCTGCTCTTCGCCGATTCGAGAGTGCGAAGACTTTCAGGGGCTAAGTCCCCGTGGTACGCGCCACCCGCGCACCCATCACGAAGACTTAGTTCTTCC